ATTAAAGTCGTGCACTTCCACACCAGGTTCAGAACTGAACTTTGGAGTGGCAGCAGCTTAATTTATGTGGTTTAAAAACCTGCCGTGGGGGCTTATGATCTGGCTCAGCAGTGAAGAGCACCAACTTCTCTTCCGTAGGACCTGGGTTCAATTCCCAGTACCCACATTTTGGGAGCCACCTGTGGCTCCAGTTCTAGGGATCTGACACCCTTTTCTGGACTCTGAGGACACTGCATGCACATGGTGAATGAACATACATGTGGGCAAAACACACAGAAAAAAAAAGTGGCTTTAAAATATGGCCTCAGAACAATATCCCGTCCACAGGCCACATTCAGCCAGTGCTTGCTGTAGCTTACGTTAGCTAGAAGGCAAGGGATACTCCAGATGGCCCTGGGTGCCTGGTTCGATGTAGAAATGAGTGAAGGAGGTTCCCAAGGCCTGGCCAGTCTGTGGATAGGGTGGCTGGAGACAAGATGCAGAGAAGGCTGGGCAGCCTTCGAGATCCTGCTGGGCTGTAGAAGAGATGCTCAGGACCCTGTCCATTTGGTTTCCAGGGTGACCAGCGAGATGAAGAAGAGTCCCAGATGAAGAAGTCGGAATCAGAGGTGGAGGTGAGAGCTGGGAAATAGCAAGTGAGAAGGGCAAGGGCTGGCTCAGCAGCTGGCCCTGTCCAGCTCTCTGACCCTTTCCTTGTGCCCTCAGGAGGCAGCTGCCATTATTGCCCAGCGGCCTGATAACCCGCGGGAGTTCTTCAGACAGCAGGAACGAGTTGCGTCGGCCTCTGCTGGCAGCTGTGATGCGCCCTCACCCTTCAACCACCGACCAGGTAGTCCTTGACCCTGTCCTTGCCCGATCCATGCTCCTCAGACTGTGGCCCTAAATCCCTTTGGGACGACTTCTTGGAAAACAAACCTTGCCCAAGGACTCCTTGGAGAAGGCAAGACCCCTTCAGTGTGCTTCCAACCACAGCTTTCCAGGTGGCAGCACCTACAAAGGGGCTGGGTTGAGGGGCTATGTCAGTGCTGGGCATTGGCTGAGCGATGGATAACCCTCAAGGCCTGCTGGGAAGCTTTGCTGTAGATGCAGACACGCTGCTGGCATTGGGAGCTTCCATGCAGGGCTAGACTAGGTCTGGCCTGAAGGCTGTGGATGCATGTAGGGTGGGATCTTGCTCTGGCCTTTCGTTTGAGCATCCTGGAGCAGCTGTGCTCCAGGGTCCCCTGTTTGGCTTCTCCTTGTGTAGCTTCTGCCTCCCCTTGAAGTGCCCTTCTGTTTCTTGTCTGCTGGTCTGAGTGTTTGCATCCACTGTGAGCATGACAGACTAGACTCACTTGTGCTGCTGCTGCTCAGAGGCTGCGTGTGCCCGTGTGTGTATCTGCTGCTGGCTGGTGGGAGGCATCAGAGGGCTTGAGGCTGTGGCCTAGCTTGGCTGTGTAGACCCTGGCTGAAGGTGGCTTGGACATCCAGGGCTGGCCCTGGGGGTGGGTGAGGCCTTGGGGCAGGGGTGGGGGAGACTGACCCTCTCTTGTCCTCTGTCTTTCTCTGTCTGTCTCTCTTGGCAGGTCGTCCGTACTGCCCTTTCATAAAGGCATCGGACAGTGGGCCTTCCTCCTCCTCCTCTTCCTCCTCTTCCCCTCCACGGACTCCCTTTCCCTATATCACCTGCCACCGCACCCCAAACCTCTCTTCCTCCCTCCCATGTAGGTAGCAGCCCCAGGCCTCGGCAGGGTGGGGTAAGGAGGGCCCCGCTTCCCAGCAGCCCCCTCGCCCTTTCTCCCCCAGCCTGACTGCTGACTGCTGGTGTTTATCCCCAAAGCAGGTACTACCTGCCACTTGTCCCTGGCCCTGCCGGGCACTGGCCCCTAGGGGCCTGGTTTACAGGGTCTGGAGCAGTAATCTGGCCCCTGGGGGGCCTGGGGAGCTCACAGCCCCCACCCATAATCAAGACAAGGTGTCTAGTCCTGACTCCACCTGGCTCCCCAACCTTCACTGACTAGCCTGGGCATTTGTTCCACAGGCAGCCACCTGGACAGCCACAGGAGAATGGCACCTACTCCCATTCCCACCCGGAGCCCATCTGATTCCAGCACAGCCTCCACCCCTGTCACCGAGCAGATCGAGAGGGCCCTGGATGAGGTTACATCCTCACAGCCTCCACCCCCACCTCCACCACCCCTACCAGCTCAAGGTGAGAGAAGGGTTCCACCTGTATCCATCCTTCCATCAGTCTCTGGTTGCCATAGTAACATAGTTCAAAGAGACCTGGACCACTCATCACCAGCACTCCACTGCTAAGGAAGTGGCTTTAGCTATGAAGAGCTCTGGTGTTGCTGCTATCAGACCTACCTTCTCCTAACCTCATTGGCTCATCACTGAAGTGATCATGTGGCTGGCCTTCCTCCCAGGGCTCCCCAGTGGTTTAAAAACAGCTGGTGAAAGGGTAGTGAGGTAGAGCTGACGATGCCAGAAGATGCTCTGTGGTAGTTCTTCATCAGAAGTCCTTAGCTCCCTAATCTTCAGTAGGTGGCAGGACACTGTACATTGGCTCATGGCATCTGTCCTTGCCCAAGGGGGGTTGACTGCATTGTGTCCTTCATGTGTACTGTGACAGAGGCCCAGGAGTCTACCCCGAGACTGGATGGTGAGGAAACCAGCAAGGGGGCCGAAGCTGCAGCAACCCCTCCGGCTTGGGCTGGCTCTACAGAGGAGCCCCCTCGGGCACAGGAACCTCCTCCGGTGCAAAGCAGCCCCATGGAGGACTTGATGTGCACAGAATCCCCAGAGCAGGCTGTTCTGGCTGCCCCTGCAGAGCCTGCTGCCTCTGTCACCCCAGTAGGTGATGCCCGTGCAGCTGACACCATTGAGACCACCACTGCCACTACTGAAACCGCTATTGCCAATGATGTCACCCCTGCCACTGCCAGCCTCATTGATCTATGGCCTGGCAATGGGGAAGAGGCCTCAGCGCCTCAGGCTGAGCCCAGGGTGCCTACACCACCCTCAGGTGCTGAGGCGTCCCTGGCAGAGGTACCTCTGCTGGATGAGGCAGCCCAGGACCCGCTGCCTCCAGCTGGCGAAGGCTGTGCCAACCTTCTTAATTTTGATGAGCTGCCAGAACCTCCAGCCACATTCTGTGACCCAGAGGAGGAAGTAGAAGGGGAGCCGCTGGCTGCCACCCAGGACCTAAATATGCCCTCAGCTCTAGAGGAGGTAGACCAGGTCCTGGAGCAGGAGCTGGAGCCAGAACCTCACCTTCTGACCAATGGAGAGACCACTCAAAAGGAGGGGACCCAGGTGGGACGGGGAGCCTGGTGGGAGGAACAGTAGCGAGGGCTGAGGGCCTGGGCTGATGGCTTGTAGATCCGTACTGAGAAGCAGCTCTATTCTGACTCCCCTTTCGATCTCTGCCTTTGTTCCCTGGCAGTCAACTCTGTTCCCCCAGCAACCACTCTTGGAGTCCTTGGTTGCCAGAGAAACAGGCTCAGTCCTGGCAGGTGGGGCCTAGTGGCCTATGCTTTTTTTTTTTTTTTCTTTTCTAAAACCCAACAGGCCAGTGAAGGATACTTCAGTCAATCACAGGAGGAAGAGTTCGCCCAATCAGAAGAGCTGTGTGCAAAGGCTCCGCCTCCGGTATTCTACAACAAGCCTCCAGGTAGTTCTTCCCTGGATGAATGGTGGAATTCTGGTGACAGAATGGGATTGGAGGGCTAGCGGTGTCACTAAACACAGTTGGCACAGCTCTTAGAGGGTGGGGGTGAGGGCGGGGACACACTACCCAGCCCTCTTCTCTCCCAATATATCCTAGAAATTGACATCACCTGCTGGGATGCAGACCCCGTACCTGAAGAGGAAGAGGGCTTCGAGGGTGGTGATTAGTCGTGGCAACTGTTCCCTGGCTGCCTTCGCCAAGGCTGCCCACCTGCGGTAGCCTCTGGCCAGACGGCTTGCAGCGCCTGCATTAGCAGCGGCCCCGCCTGGCACCCACTCTGGACTCCGGCGCTGGCCGGGGATCTGTCCGCTTCCCTACCCACAGGGCCTGACTTTACAGCTTTTCTCTTTTTTTTAAAGTTGATAGACTTGTACAGTTGACTGGTTTTCCTCCCGTTGGTAGTTGAGATGATGTTACAGATTCTCCACCCCCTTCCTGCCCAGACCAGATTGTAGCTTAGTCTCTGCAAGGCCGACCAGGGTGGAGGCCTCACCCTGCTTGGGACCTGGTGGGGGTTGGGGGTTTTGGTGGGAAAATGTTCCCCCCATCACTTTTCCTAGTTTTATGTTTCTTGGAAAAATATCACTTTGTATTCTCTATCCAGGGCTTCAGATATTTTGCACGAATTTTAACACATGGCAATAAATGGCTCGTGGGCTCTGGCTCCCTGGGACCCCTTCCCTTCTCTTCATCCTCGCTGCTTGGTTGAAAGGAATTATCAGGCCCACCTGGGGCCCCTTGGCTTCCCGCCCTCTCCTGCCGGGCAGGTCCCAGGCTGGAGGTCCTAGGCGTGACTCAAGTCAGGGCTTATAGATGGATCCAGGGGTTTGGGTGGCCCCTCCCTGATTCCTTCCTCTCTGCTTGGGTTCTTTTTCACATTAACTTTCCCCTCCCCCTTTCTTTTTCTTTTTTTTAAAGCACAAACTTATGTAATGAGTCGTGCTCATGTCTGATAATAAAGAAATCCAGATCCCTTTGGGCCTGCTGCTCTGGGCCTCCAGGGGTTGATCTGGCGTGGGCGCTGGCTCTCACCCACTTCCAACTGCTGTCACCTCCGAGGCTACAGGGGGCGCGCCTCTCTGTTACCCTGTGGTATCAAAAGCAGGCCAAATGGAGAATGAACATCCTGCCCCTGAAAAGTAACCTTCGGTTCCCAAAGGCCTGCACATTTCTGTATACACCTCCCCACACACACCAGGTCCAATATGCCTGGTCATTAGAACCTTGGGCGTAAAGCAGCTGGCGTTCCCCTCCGCTTGTACCAAAGCAGATCACACACCTTTATTATCCTCAAAATGTAACAAACAGGGTAAGAAATCCCACCCTCCCCCCACCCCTCCCTGCAGTCCAAGGGAAGCATTTAAAAAGCCCCGCAGTCAGGCTAGGAGTTTGCCTGTGGGGCTCGGGACGCCGGGCGCCCCTCTATACGGCTGTAGTCCTCCCGAACAAGGGGATGGAGACCGGCAGACGCCAAGCTCCGTGCTCCAGGGGCTCGCGGCTGCTGAGCTCTGAGTCGGTCCAGCTGGGGAAGACCCGGCGGCTGCGGTCAGCCTGCAGACAGAGGGCAGGGCAGGGGGCGGCGGGCCGCGGGGCGCTGGGAAGATGCAGCGCCGAAGTATAGCCCCGGTCCAGGAAGAGAGGCTTGTAACTCGGAGGCGGCTGCTCCTGCTTCTCCGCGCTGTCGCGGCGGCTCAGAAAGGGCGTGACGATCTTGCGGTAGAGCCCGCGAGTGTCCGTGAGCACCTCGCTGTAGGGCGGCGGCGGCTCGGCCATCAGCACCGCTTCCTCGTAGCACGGCGGCTTAGACATGTCCGATTCCGCTGCGGGACGGGAAGCAGGCTGTGAGGACGAAGCCGCCGGCCCCAGCCTCCCGCAGCCACCACCACCCTAGCCCGCTTCTCCCGGGGCATCGGCAGGGAGCGCTCGCCTGCCGAAGCGCAGCCTTACCTTGGCGCGGGTAGCTCCAGGGCCGAGGCGGCACGGAGAGGTGCGGTGGCGGTGGGTGCGGCAGTGCGTGATGGTGTGGGTGCGGATGCGCGTGCGGCTGCGCGGGCCCGTGGTGCAGCAGCGGGTGCACGTGCACGTGCGAGTGCGCGTGCACAGGCGCCTCCAGACGGCTGCGGTGCGGTGGTGGCGGCGGCGCCAGGCCCGGAGGACTTCCAGCCAGGCTGCCCTCAAGCTCGAGGGGCTCCAGCTCCAGAGCACGCAGGTTCTGCTCCCTCAGTCGCTCCTCCTGGCGCCGTTTGAGGCGGCGGCGCAGGAAGCTGCAGAAGCAGCAGAGCAGGACGATGAGACCCCAGATGAGCCAGAAGCCGGCGAAGCACGTGAGGAACGTGTAGGTGCCCTGGGACATCACCATGGCTGCGGCGCAAGCGGCAGGTCCTCGGCAGCTTTACTGGACGCTGGGCTCCTCGGCGTGGCCCCGGGGCCGCGCCACGCTCCCAGGTGCCGCCAGCGTCACTTGGGGACCTGCGGCCGGGGGCTGCTTGCGGCGGGGCTCAATGGGCGCGCATGCCGGCGGGGGGCAACTTTGGTTCCCTCTCCTTTCCATGGCTCCGACCGGCGCGGGCCTGCTTCACCCGGGGCCGCGAGCGACCTGCGGGGCAGACACAGGGCTCAGCGAGGCTCGCCGGGATACCGGGTGACTCCCGGACTGCACCCGCGTCCCGCGCAGGGCCGGGGATGCCTCCTTGGTGGGAACCCCCGCACTCCCCGGGGACTGGGTGACGTCACTGAGGGATGACGTCACGCCCCGAGGTTTCCCTGATAGGGTTTCCCCGAATCGAGACCGGGCCACCGCGTGCCGGCGCGACCCAAGGCAGGCCAGCAGGGGGCGCGCGGAGTCCGCCCGCAACCCCAGGGTCCAGCTTCGAGGAGGTTTCCGAGGCTGTGAACACTAGGGCACTAGGATGGTCTCGGCGCGGTTACTTTGGGTGGGGAAAAAGGACAGTCCATTAACTGGAGGTCCACTAGCAGCCCGCTTGGCGCCCAGCTTCTGCCCTGCACTGCTTCCAAATAGTGGCCACGCCTGTAAGAGACTGGCGGGTGCCTGCCCCTGCATGCCACCGGCCCAGCCTTTGTCTGCTCCTGACGCGGTGTGCTGGGCGTGGGCCAGGCGCTCTTTCCTTCCTCCAGGCGCCACTGCCAGCCCGATTCCAGCCCCAACTTGACTTCCCTCACCACCTACTCATGCGCAAACTCTACTTGGCTGTGCCTCTCTTACTTCCAGCCCTCCCCCTCCCTTCCACCAATTCCTTTCCCTCTTTGGAGAGGGGTGGAAAAATCAGAGGAGATTTGTCTTTCGGACCCACCTCCTATCACAGCAGGGGGCTGAGAAAATCTCTGCACGGGAAGAATTTAGAAGCCCTGACTGCTTAGTTAAGGGCAGCAGGCAACAGAAAGGTCACCATCCATGCCCACCGCCCTTTTTGAATGGCTCTACCAGGGGCATTGTTAAAACCCAATCCTTTGGATAACAAATTATTTCTAACTCACAGCTGAGAACGGAAAGCAGCTAACTGCACAGATGGCAGTGCTAATTTGAACCTCGGCCTAGCAGCAAAACCCTGGCCAGAGCTTGTGGGAAGGACGGTTTTCCAGGAGCTGAGGAAGGGCCTGCCCTGGGCACACAAACCCTCACTCAGCTCTGGTGCCCACAATCATCTTAAGACCCAGGCTGAAAGGATGCCAGGCCTAGGCCACCCCACCTTACCCAGATGGCTCCTGTCTGCCTCTCTGGCTGCCTTCAGCCATGTGTCACTTGGGGCCCATGCCAGTCCTACCCTCCTGGGCCCGCGTTCCAGAGCAGACAAGGGTAGGAACAATAGCTCTGCCCGCCCCCTCGACAACCCCACCATGAGGCTGCCATGGTGACGCAGCCCAGATAAAAACACGATGCTGCCAGTCACCGGGAGTTAATTAAATCTGTTGTTCTCCTTTCCTCGAGCCCTCAGGAACGGGAATGTTCTGAGGGAACAGGCACTAGCTCGAGGTTTCGGCCAAAAGGGCAGAAACAGTCCTGGGGCAGAAAAAGTGTTTCCGTGGTTGGAGGTAATGGCGCTTGCTAAATTAGAAGCATCTGTCAGGAGCCAGGTGGGGGATGGCACGGGTGTGCAACTATGAAGAAGGCTTGAGCCCAAAAGACACGAGGCATCAGGGCTCTGAGTATATAAACTAAAGGAAGCTTTAAATGCCTGTCTAGGTCATCAGAGCTTGTCTCTTCTGTCCATGGACATCTCTGTTGTCTTTGAGACGGGTGTCACTATACAGTACAAACTGGCTAAGCTCAGGAGCGGTCCATCTGCCTCTGGCTCCAGGCAGAATTGTAAGAACATTAATACCACCTTGTCACTTCTGGTCACGCCACTGTTTGAAGGATGAAGTGGCACCCTTAGACGACTCCTTTCATGTCCTACAGCTTGTAGGAGGTGTTAAGGGTCAGTCTGTATCTGCATCGGTCGCTGTCCACTGTCCACGTGGTGAGCTGGGGATGAAAATTCAGTGTGTGTGGGAGCGTTCAGCACGTGAGAACTTGGTAGTTAGGTTAACTAGTAGCCAAATGTGTTTTCCTGTTCCTTCCTGTCAAAGGTCTTGGACCACCTGTTAGGCATAGCTCAGGGAAGTACTACAAGATGGAGAGAGACTGGCAGCTTCAGGCTCAACAAGGATCAAAGCACAGAATCTATGCCCAAAGGGCATCTAGCTCAGCAGACTGGGCGTTAGGCCAGACACCAAAGACTAAAAACCCCGAACCTGTGTGCTGCTCTCACTGATGCAAGTCATTCTGCCAGGACTAAGAAACAGCGTTCACTTCACTCTGTGCAAACTGTGGGTCAGAGAGAAATCTCTCCCTTGAGAACACACCGCCGAGTCAGCCTCTGACGACATTCTGACTGTCCACCTAACGCTAAGTACACGCTGTCACGCCTAAAGTCTCCCTCCTTATATTATCTACTCCACAGCTGCTCAGTACACAGGCACCAAGAAGGGCATTCAGATCTTCTGAAATGGTCTACTGAACAGGACAAGCTTTTCGAACCCCGCGGTCCCAGGGCTCTTCCCTGCTTCTGCATGCTTTGACCCTAGCTGGGGGAAGCTGCGGACTCAGACCCAAGTGTTCCTGCCTCCACACCGTTGACAGCAAACACCTGCGGCTTGTCTGCCTCCCGTTGGGAACCCTGCCCTCCAGATGGACTCATCTTCCCATCTGCCATGTTAATAATTGCCTGTATTTCCTCTTTCTCTTTATTCTTGCAAATTACTAAACACTGCCCAGGATTCCATGTTGATTTGTGTAGCATTCTGGGCATATGCTTTGCTGAGTTTTCTTAGACCATCCTGGGATTACACCAAGGGATGAAAGCAAGACCCACCAGGGCTTTCCTACCCACTCTGCTACCTGTTTCCTCCTGGGTCACCATGGAAGGGAATGGGCTAGCCTCTGCAAAGGATAGAGTTGTCTGCTTCTGGGCTGAGGGTGAATGTTTCAGACTCGTACTTGTCCGGACCCAAAAGCTAGCACCACCGTCACTTCATTCAGTAGGTCTGGGTGAGACTCCAGTTCTCATTTTCTCGTCTTTTATCTCACTGAGTAGCCCAGGCTGGCCTTAACCCCATGACAATCCACTTGCTTCCACTTCCTAAAAGCTGGGATTACAGGCAAAAGCCACCACACCTGGCTTCAAAGTTCAAATTTCTAACAATTTCCTAGTAGATTTGAAGCCAGAGAAACTGTGACCTAGATCTTGGCCTCCAGAATGAGTTTCTGCCAGAGCCTGCCCTGGGCTGGGTGAGGACAAAGCCTAGCGATCTTGGAATGCTCTAGAGGGTACCGAAGGCTCGATCGACCAACACACAGAAGCTAAGCACCACCCGCTGAAATTACTGGAGGTGTCCAGTTACCTGTTTGATATTTTAGGGGTAGGAGAGGGGAACATTTTAGGCGCTGGGCCAGCATATATTCATTCTTGGGAAATATTACTGAAGAAGAAGCCATTGCCCAGTTTTTAGCCCTCATGGGGCTTATGTTTTGTTTTTGCAAGACAGGATTTCACTATTTAGCTCCAGCTGTCCTGGACCTCGCTATATAGATCAGGCTGGCCTCAAACTTACAGAGATCTGCCTGTCTAGCCTCTGCCTCCCAAGCACTGGGATTAAAGGTGTGCACCAGTACACCTGGCCCTTGGAGTGGCTTATAACCAGGTCAAATCTCTAGTCATCTATGAGTAAAAGAAAAAAAAAATGATGCAGAGGCAGGGAGTAGAGAGAAGTCTGGTCACAGGGACTCTGAGTGACAGGGTTCACTCTGGGCATCAGCCTGAGAAGGAACGAGCAGGCAGGAGACAGAGTGGTGGAGTGCAGTGTGGTGTACTGACGGTGGGTGGAGGAGAGCAGCTGCCACCCCGACCCTCCAGGCATCACTGGCTTCTACAGCTGTGATCTCAGCAATCCTTGAGCAGCCCAGTCCTGACAGGAAAGGGCGTATCAGGGTACATAGGTGACATGTCTACACCTCCTCCTCACACCACCCTGGATGCACTGAGGCCAGAGCGAGCTGAACTTGTAGCAGCTCCCGATGTCATGGAGCTGGCCATAACCTTACTTTTAGTAGGGCTCAGTACTGGCTGGGACCCTGGCCTTCAGAGTCCTGACCTAGGTCTGTGACCTGACTATGGCACAAAGAAACTGCGGGACATCAGAGACTCGAGCCCCAGTGGATCTGCAGACACAAGCATTTCTTTTTGCACTCATTTCTTAGGTCTGGCCCTGCTAGGGGCAGTGTGGGAAGAAAGGGGTAGGATATCAAAAGCCCATACTCTGCCAGGCAGTGGTGGCGCTCACCTTTAATCCTAGCACTCAGGTCTATAGAGTGAGTTCCAGGACAGGCTCCAAAGCTACACAAAGAAACCCTGTCTTGAAAAACCAAACCAACCAAACAAACAATATTCATATGAAAACCCTGTTCCTGTGGTTTCTTGTTTCCCTTATTCTGCATCTTTGTTCTTGCAAGGGAGGAAGCCACGTGACAGGGAAAGCTAACGCTCACGTCTCTTAAGGAACAGCCTGTTGTAACACGTCAAGCACTCAAGGGAGGTGTGAATTCAAATCCTGTTTCTTTGCCTGTAGAACAGGGATGAGAAGACCTGCCTTAGGGGCTGGAGAGATGGCTCAGCAGTTAGGAGCACTTGCTCTTCAAGAGGACCTTGGTTAAGTTCCCAGTACCCACATGTGGTTCACAATGATCCATATCCCAGTTCCAGGAGATACGACACCCTTTTCTGACCTCCACAGGTGCCAGGCACACATATGGTGCACAGAAATACAAGCAGGGAAAATATTGAGATTTGTCCAATAATGCCT